ACGGAAGAAGAAGAAGAAGAAGAAGAAGAAGAAGAAGAAGAAGAAGAAGAAGAAGAAGAAGAAGAAGAAGAAGAAGAAGAAGAAGAAGAAGAGGAAGAACCTACTTATACATCACATCCCCACTAAGAAAGTCCTCAATGTGTTTTGGAGCAACAGAGAGAACACAAACACCATACTGTTCCAACAGATAGTTTTAGTAGTCTTAGTTAGCTTTTACGGCATTCGCAACTGCATAAGGTCATGATGTGAGCGCCAGGTTGTGTATGTCAACAGACAAGTCCAAACGGGGAATCAGGCTTACTCTGCTCACTTTATAGCCCCAACAGCACAAAGTCTGCTTCGACTATCAAAGCACCTCGGAAATAGCAATTCACAAGAGAGTGACAAACACATTAAAGAAGTAGAGGAAACAATGACGACAGTAAGAATGAGGGGAAAAAAGCAGCAGTTCCCCCTATATTGTTCTGGCACAGTATGTGCATGACATTGATAAATCAGCCCATAATTTAAAATCCAACTGTGCATAAGAACAAATGTCATGTTAATATCCAACCTTTGAGAATGGTTTAAAGACAACTTCAGTCAGTAGCACTGCCCTGGTTATTTGGGTTTGAGGGGGGGGGGGGATCCAACAGATAGTAGATGGAAAAAAGCAATCTGGGAACAGTAGAAAAGGCAGAGCGCAAAATTGGAAAGAGATGAGATAAAGGCCTGATAAAATTCAAGCACGCAACGGTTAAGTCTTACGACATTGTTTAACTATAATGTGATGCGGCGTGGTGGAATCAGGCTCTCGTCAAAATAATCAAAGTGAAGAAACTTGCATTTTTCCACAGGTTTGTGAATTGTTATCAATTTTTTAATTTTTGGCTCAACACCTTTCATGCCCATTAAAGAACTCATTTATTTGTTGTTTTTCTGAAAAACGTTGATTAATGGCACAAAAATGTATATTTTCAGTTACCACGGACGCTTAAGCTAAGGAAATAACTATTCTTTGCAGGCCATTTTCTCACTAATTTTACGTCTAAAAACAGGTGACCCCCACCACCTTCAATCGCAATTATCTCGACTTGTATTCAAGATAAATCGATATTCATTTCATTCAAATAAAGACAAGTGAACAAACTTTAAGGTGATACCAATAACTGTACATGCCCCAAAATTGACGAGTGCCTGATTCCAGCACGCTGCCTCACTATTACTTTGTCTGTCTGTGTTTTATCTAGCTCAAACACCTGTGTTTATTTCTTGTAACGATAAGGAGAGCTGGCCAAACAGTGTGTTCTTTCTCTGTCTGACTCTCTGTCTGTCCCTCTGTTCGTCTGTCTGTCGGTCGGTCTGCTTGTCGCTCTCTCTCTCTCTCTCTCTCTCTCTCT